GATGTTGGTCTGGATGGCAGTTTAGTCAGGCTGATAAAGGCATATGAGGATTCTGAGGAGATGGGGAAGCTGGAGGCCATGTGAGATTTGGTACTTGGTGTCCAGCACCTAAACCGGTATCCAACTTGGCAACTAAAAAACTGGAGATTGCAGAGATTACAAACCACCTTTTTTTAAAAATTTTCCCCTTCTGTTGCAGGACTCAGACCAAGGTCAGCAAAAGTTGCTCACTTGTTTGTTGGAGGTTTGGGCAATGTCAAAAGAGGGCTTTGAGGCCTGCACGTAGTATTTCTCACTTAGCAACCTTGAATTTCATCCAGCATTTTAATAACCCAGTCACTCGGTCACAAGATCCTTCTGCACCTTTCCACAGGCTCATTCAGGGCTGAAGGTTTGGGTCATTTTGCATAATCAACACGTCTTGGCACCCCGTGCTCTAAATTGTTCTGAAAGTGTTGATTGGTGGGGCAGATGGCCTCAGATATGCTGGCCACTCACATCTCTCAGTTGCCACCAGCCTTGCCACAAGTTTTCAGCCTGGAGAGGGTGGTCTTCCCTGTCCTCAGGTAATTCTTTGAAAGGTTTTCCCAGCCTGTTTTTTCCTAAAGTCCATTGCTTTTCATCATGGGGGGGTTGAGGTGAGTGGTGAATTACTTGCAGCACAGGTACCTGTTCATCCATTTCATGCTGGAGACCACTGAGTCTCACATGTGGTTTGCTGCCCTTCATGTCACAGACGTTTTTAAGTCCTGATGCTTCAGTTTTCAGTGGAGGCTCCATCTCATTGCTGCTGAGGAAAATCTGTCTGGCAACACCCCAAAGCTCCTCTGACGGCAAAACATCAACTTTACTTTTCATTCATGGACTTAAGCTTCCCTAATCACTCCCACGCCTTCTTACGGCTTTTTGGCAGCTTTCTTATCTCCAAGATGCATTTGAAAGAGGTTTTCAGCCTTCCTTTTCTATTTGTCACATAATCTCTTTTTTTTTTTTCCCTTTACAGCTACTAGTCTCATTTACTAGTATTTATGAGTTTTTCTTTTGTTTTCATTTGACTACAGCTTCTGCTTTTTGACAGCTGCCTTTTCAAATCTTACGCTGTGAAGTATAACCCAGCACTACTGTTCCTTCTAGGGAACACTTAATTAACTCCCTCAAGAAGATGATACTTCTGTAGTAAGGTAATTTATGGAGGTAAGTCAGCTGTCCTAGAGTAAAGAGATTACATTAAGCTTAGACGAGTAAGTAACAAATTACTTGTTTTTGCAGCATGTACAACACATTGGGATTGCCCAAAGGTAGGCAGCTTGGTTTTGATGAAATTTGAGCACTGCTGGAGCCTGCAGGGATATTTGCATACCCCAAGTCATGAACCTGCATTTTGTGAATGGCATCAGTTATGAAGGAGGTTGAAACATCATCCTTTAAGATGTTTGTCTTTTGTAACTGTGTCATAAGTCTTTCAGAGACCTGTATCTCCTCTTCCTTGCCCTGGTCTTGCCAATTGCTTTGCTTAAAGACTGATTTACTTCAGAAGTGGATACAGGATGTTTTAAAAGTCACTGTGCTTACACAGTTACCATTTTGTTATGTTTTGGATTGATTTTTCAAGTGAACTTAACTATTTTCCACATCTGCTCAAGCTGGTTTTCACTACGTGGCATCTTCCTTAATGCTGAAGTTTCATGCTGACATCTCAACATGAAGGTGGTCTGAGGACCTTTCTTGGGGAAGCAATGCATGTGTAGTAGTCTGTGCAAAAATGCCAAGGAAGTATAAAATAATTTCTCTGAATGTTCAAAGTTATCATAAAACTGAATTTTCTGTAACACCACTGCCAGTTACCCTTAGCTGTCTTAAAAAAAGGAGAATAAAACATAGAGCTTACCACCCCTAGAAATGGTTGGCTGCCCATCAGAGAAGCTGTCTCTTGGGTCAGCCAGAGAGCTTTCCCAGGTGCATCCCTCTCCTACAATGGCTCTGCACAGTGATTCCTGCTGCCTGGCCAGCCAGGGAAGGCAGAGTCAACCCTTTAGCCAGGATCAGTGTCTTTCTGTACCTTCCCCTTGCAAGGTGCTCACAAACCAGGATGGGTTCTGGCTTGTGGCTGCTTCTCTTGGAGTTTGTTTGTCCCAGCAAAGTGGCACAATTGCTTTTCACTACCTTGCTGAATGAGAGCCTCTTCATGTCTGCCCTGAGCACCTGCCTTGCCTGACCAAGCATTTCTATCTGCTTTCCATAAAAACACTAGAGCAAACAGAACAAACCTAGACCTCCCCTTCTTGGGGGAAAACTCTCCAGAGACAGAAGCAGCTGCCACAGCAGATCTCCCATCTTTATCTCAATGCCATCCACAGTAATATATGTCAATTTTGCAAACTGATGGGAAAACAAAATTACATGGGTTTTTTTAGGTCAGGGTTGCAGTTCTCAGACAGGCTGGCCACTGAGCTAGTTTTTCCATCTGTCCAGAGGGGCCTCGCTGTGGTGCCATCTGTAGGTACAGTGTCTGGATGCAAAATAAGGATTTGGAAGAGCTGTGCATTTTAGGGAGGTTATATTAGAGAGAGGAAACCAAGCCCTCCAGGCAATCCAAAAGCTGCATGACTAGTTTGCCACACTCACTCTCCCTGTTTCCGTACAAGACCAACCATGTTTTAAATGCTGTGATTCCTGGCTTTCCTCACCTCAATACCATATAATTTTTCTGGGAGAGATGAGATTGTAAACTAGTTGAAATAGTATTTGAAAACAGAGTGAACCTTTATTCAAGACATTCCCAGCAGCTGTTGGTCTGAGAGCACATACTCTTCCTCCACCCCGAGGCTGTATGACTTTGCTCGTTCCAAGAGCAATTTGATCTCAGGTTGGATAGGGCTCACGCTTGTTAAATAACAAGAATTTGCTCTAGAATTTTCAGGTAGTCTTATCTCACTTAGGAAACATAAGGCTTTTTAGGAGAAAAATTTGACTCATATAAATGTTCCAGCTTTTAACCCAGTTCAAAATATGCTTTACATGGGAAAAGAGGATATCTATCCTTCCCCCCCTTTAGACGTTTCAGTAGCCTCTCTGCACTTCCAGATTATCAGTCGAGGCGCTGACTGGCATGCACACAATATGCAGGCAGCAGCACACAGCACAGCCATTCAAAGCACCCAGGCACAGCAATCAAGGACAGGATGGGACCAACCCAAGACTCATTTGTAATCTTGACAGGTCTCCAGGCTACACAGCCCCCCCAGCAGAAAGCCAGCTCCATGGGAGGGCTGCCTCCAGTGAGCTCCAGCACCAGGCAGCTCCCGTTTGATGCCACAGTTACCTAAAGCTCCAATGACGGGGCCATTTCTGGTGTAATCCAAGTATTTCTGCTGTCCTAGGGCTAACAAGCTGCTCGGAATCCCAGTTCCTATCCAGAGGCAGGTTATTCAACCTCTTCTCTTTACAAAATATCTTCGAGTCATCGCCCTCTAGTCCAGCAAACATTTAATTCTTACGCAGCCTAACTGCAGGAGATAAGCGGCTCTGGGAAACCATGTCCAGCATACCTTGATCCTGAGAGTTTAAATCCTCCAGCTTACGTCCTTGCAGCATCCAGATCAGGGTCTAAAGCACTTGGGGTCCGGACAACAGCTCCAAAAGTGCCTGCCAGGGAGAGAACACATCAGCCCTGAGATGCTAAATTAAGCTGCTAAAAATGGAGTTCCACGTGATTTTGTGCAGTGCATTGCTTATCTGTCCTGGTGCTCACAGGTCACGGAAGGCTCTGTCGCTGCCCAGTGGCATTCATGCTTCCAGAACTAATGCAGGGAGGCAGAGGGCTGACACTCACCTTGCAGAGATTTGCTGCTCAGCAGCTTAACTGCAACTGCCCCTCCTTACGCACAGAATTAAGCCAGAATTAAGACTGGCCGCCACCATGCCGACGATGGCCTCCAACACGTCCCTAGGCAGCCACTTCCCCTGGGGCAAAGCCAATTCATTTTAAAAGGTAAAAGCAAGTGAACTATCTGCCTTGTAACACCAGAAGTATCTTCCTTGTCCCCCGCTGAGGCAGGGGAAGGAGAATTAATTTGTTTCTTGTGCCCCTTTACCAAACCAAATGCATGAGTCATCTGCTCAGCACTTTTATTCTGCATGCGCCCATCAGACAAGCAAATCCAGAGCTGGGTGGATGGAGCCAGAGCCACTTCCCATCCTACCACACAGAGTCCTGTTGTGGAGCACAGCCCTGCACCACCCACACCTTGTTTTGGCTCCTGGGTTGGACTCTGGGCTCTCCCACGTGGAACAAGCAGCTCAGCAGGCTGCACTCCCCAGCTTCTCATGGCAGCTGGCAGACTGTGCCATGCAGGCGCCTGTAGCTGCTCATTACATACATGTACCCCCTGCCTCCTCCCATCTCCCCCTGACAGACAGACAAGGCTTTTCAGATGGTGATCACTTTTATTGATGTAAGGTGGTACACAAACAGATCAGTTTCTATCAGCCTCTCCACCTCCCCCAGGCTCGGGGAGAAGTTGGAGGAGTGGGGGAGACAAGGGAACAGAACTGGCCTCTCACTGCAGGATGCAGAGCTAAGCGGTGGTGAACAAGGGCAGGGGCTCCAACAAAGGAGAGTCCTGCTTCCCTAGGCAGCAGGGGGGGCTGTGTGCTCAGCTTACTCCTGGGATGCCATGTGGACCATCAAGTCCACAACACGGTTGCTGTATCCATATTCATTATCATACCTGGGGACAGAAAACAAGCGTGTCAGGGCTGACCCATTTCTTGCACCCCTTCTTGCATTCTTCCTGCTCCTCTGCCCCATCCCACACAACTGAACTCCCATCTACCCTCTGGGGGGGAGGAGGCAGCTACAGTAATTTCAGATAAGAAGCAATCTCACTCCACGGTGAGATTGGAGGTCTGTGTATCCACCTGGATCACCAGCAGTAAGCAACAGGACACCCAAGTCTGTAACCTGTCTGTGCCAACCCCCACGTCCCCCAGGGCTGCACCTACCAGGAAACCAGCTTGACAAAATGGTCGTTCAGTGCAATGCCAGCACCTGCATCAAAGGTGGAGGAATGGCTATCACCATTGAAGTCACAGGAGACAACCTGAAACACAAGAAATTGTAATGCATATGGCTTCCCACAGTCTACTCCAAGTGCCCAAACCAGGACCCTGGCAAAGCTGCTGCCAACAGCCTTTTGGAAAAATGAGGCAGGAGCCGTTAAGTGCAGGCTGAGAGAGCAGGCACTGCTCACCTGGTCCTCTGTGTATGCCAGGATGCCCTTCAGGGGCCCATCAGCAGCAGCCTTCACTACCCTCTTGATGTCATCGTACTTGGCCTGAGGAGACACAGATCCAACATCATCAGACCCCAACTCACACAAAATGTCCACTGGGGACAGGGGAGGGAGGAGACACACATGGCAACACCCAGCAGGTGCTCTTTTCTCAAAGATCACACCTTCAGGACAAGATGGGTGCAGAGAGGGGAATTCCAGGTGCAATACAGAGCTTAGAGGAAGCAGGGGCACATCTGGAAGTTGTTAGGATCTCATCCACAACACTTACTGGCTTCTCCAGACGGCAGGTCAGGTCCACAACAGAGACATTAGGGGTTGGCACACGGAAAGCCATTCCAGTAAGTTTCCTGTGAGAGACATAAGTCAGTAAGGAACAGCATCTGGCACTCCTCTGCCAGCCTAGGAATGTTTGGCCTCCTCCTGACACCTGAAAAGGGACAACACTCACCCATTGAGCTCAGGAATGACTTTTCCCACAGCCTTAGCAGCTCCAGTAGATGCTGGGATAATGTTCTGAGCAGCACCTCTGCCATCTCTCCAAAGCTTCCCAGAAGGCCCATCCACTGTCTTCTGTGTGGCTGTGATGGCATGGACAGTGGTCTGAAGAAAGAGCACAGGACTAAGAACACAGCCAGTATTCTCCAGAAAGAGCATCCCAGGTGACACAGGGAGTACAGATGCTTTCCCTCTCACACGAGGGGATCTGTAGCAGGTCACCCTCCTCAGCACCAAGCTGCAGACCTACCATGAGACCCTCCACAATGCCGAAGTTGTCATGGATGACCTTGGCCAAGGGTGCCAGGCAGTTAGTAGTGCAGGAAGCATTGCTGGGGTAGAGAGATAAAGGCACATCAGCCAGAGGCAACACTTCCACTGAGGTGAAGTGAGACCCCTGACAGCTGCTGAGAGCTCCAGGCCAGAAAGCACACTCCTCTCTCCTTACCTGACAATTTTCAGAGACTTGTCATACTTCTCATGGTTGACACCCATCACGAACATGGGAGCATCAGCAGAGGGGGCAGAGATGATCACACGCTTGGCACCACCCTTCAGGTGAGCCTGGAGAGAGAGAGAGATAAGAGATTACATAACTCAGGATCCTTCCAAGCTTTCTTCTTCAGATCTCTTCTCCTTCACAGCCCCATCCTGAGCAGCCCTGTACATGGTGGCATGCCCAACAGGCAGAAAGCAGCCCTATCCCTTCTCTCCTGTGCCTCTGTGGCATACTCACCCCGGCCTTCTCCATGGTGGTGAAGACACCAGTAGACTCCACAACATATTCAGCACCAGCATCTGCCCACTTGATGTTGCTGGGGTCACGCCTAAGGAGGGACAAAATTTTACAAGCTGGTCCATGAGACACCTGCTTCCAATATCCAGAGGGGCAATCAGGAAAGAGATACTTACTCCTGGAAGATAGTGATAGCATTCCCATTGATGACAAGTTTTCCATTCTCAGCCTTGACAGTGCCCCGGAAGTGGCCATGAGTAGAGTCATATTTGAACATGTAAACCTAATAAAGAGAGGGGGAGTGGAAGGTCAGGCACCCAGGCTGCCATCATCCTCTAACACCCTGGGAAGTTACCAGAACAGATCCAGAGAAGCCCTACTCAGAAAGGCCCAGAGGGGGCACTGCAAAGCAACTCACCATGTAGTTCAGATCAATGAAGGGATCGTTGATGGCCACCACTTGGACTTTGCCAGAGAGGACGGCAGCCCGGGTAACCAGGCGGCCGATACGGCCAAATCTGGAGAGAAAAAGACAAGGGTGAGGAGGTGCAACAGAGAACCAGCCCAGCTGGGCATGGGAGGCAGTCCTTGGCAGCCTTCCCTCGGGATCATCGGCTGCTCCCTGCCCATTAGGGCGGGAGAGAGTCCTGCAGCTCGTCCAAAGGCCAAGGCACCCCGGTTAAAGATTAAGAGCGACCCCCGCCCCAGAAAGGTCAATCGCTAAATTTACTGAGAGCCCCGGGGATCCGGTTACTCCTCGGCCCGGCACGAGAAGGTCACAGCCCCGGGGCCGCTATCGACACACGATCCACCGAGAGACCTTTTGGTGGGGGGCTGCAGGGATCCCCGGGAATGCGGAGGGAAACTGGGGCAGCCGAGCAACGGCAGCCCTTTCCGGAGTGAGTCACCCCGAATCCGAGGAGAAATGAGTCAGCAGCACCGCTCTCTGCCCCGGGGGGCGCCGGCGGAGCGGGACCGGCGGGATTCAACCTCTCCCTCTCCCCAAATCCTCCCCCCGCGCCCTTGAGGCGACCTTGCCGCCCCCCCGCAACCCTCCCCCAGATCCCTGCTGGTCCCGTCGGCCCCGGCACTCACCCATTGACTCCGACTTTCACCATCTTTACCGCTTCGGGATGTTCCTGCGGGCAGAAACCACCGGTAGGGGCATGAGGGGAACTGGCAACCACCACCCGCGGCGGTCGCACCCGCCGCCGTTAACGCCTCGCCCGCGCCGAGGGGCGAGTGGGCACCGGGGGGGGGGAGGGCGAGGAGAGCGGGCGAGCGGGAGCCCGCGCTCCGAGCCAGCCCCATCCACCCACCCCACCCCCCCGGGCGATCACTCCCCCGCCTCGGGCGATTAACTCACCTCCCCCCCGCCACAACCATCCACCCCTCCTCCTCCTCCGGCGACCATCTCCCCCCTCACACCCCTATCCCTCCTGGCCTCACCGCCCCCCTTCACGCCGCCCCCGCCATTTTGCGCCGCGCCGCCTTTGTGCCCGTGGGCCCCGCCGCCACGCGGCCCCGCTCCGCCCGGGGGCTGCCGCACCCCCTGCCGGTGGGCGGTGCGGGTGTGTGGGGAGAGGGCTCTCGCACGCCCACCCCCCGCCACCCCCGCTCTCTCCCCCCGCGCATCTCCCCCGCCCCGCCCGTTACCTGCTGCCTCCGAACCGCCCGGCGCGCAGTGAGGAGGTGGCGCAGCGCCTCTCCGCCGCCCTTTATAGCCGCGTGAGGGTAGGGCGGGGGCCCGCCCCGCCGCGACGCCGTCGAATGGCAGCGCGAGGGCCGGACCGGGCTACGTGCGCCCGTGCTGCGGGTGCGGCTGCCGAAGACCCCCCCTGTTTCCCCCGCCCCGCCACCCCCCGTTAACAAAGGCCCCGCTCTGGGAACACAGGCTCCGTAGCGATCACCCTCCCGTCGAGCCACCCCGAGGGGGCTGATGGCAGTGGTGAAAAAGGCACCGGTCCTTGCGGGGAGGTGTCCCCAGAGCGGGGATGGGCGGCTGTACCCCTGCCAGAGGAGGCAGGGAGGGTGATAGCAGGTCGGGGGCTGGTCCCGCCGGGCTCGCTGCTGCTCCGGAGGATGATATGCGCTGTTTTCACCTGGTAACAAAGGGCAGGTAGTCACCCGCCCCGGCTGTAGCCTTTGCCCAATTGGATGGAGTAGTATCCAGTATCCGAAGGGACCTACGGGGAAGCCGGAGAGGGACTCTTCGTCAGGAGCTGTAGTGATGGGAAAAGGAGTATTGGGTACAAATTGAAAGGGAGGAAATTTAGGATGGATATTAGGAAGAAGTTCTTTACTGTGAGGGTGATGAGGTACTGTAACACGTTGCCCAGGGAGGCTGTGGATGCCCCAGCCATGGCAGTGTTCCAAGCCAGGCTGGATAAGGCCTTGAGCAACCTGCTCTAGTGGGAGGCGTCCGTGCAGGTGGCACGGGAGTTGGAACTGGATAATCTCTAAGGTCCATTCCAAAGCCTTAACATTCCATGATTCTATGGCTGCAAGGGCAAATGGACTGCAGGGATGCTCGGGCCACCCCGAGGGATCAGCGGATCCCTATTCCTCCCGGCACGGGAGGTACAGTCTGGGAGTTCTCCCGCCTCTAGGCTAGGACCCCCCTCTGGATGGGTTTATCCAGGCGTGCTCTGGACGTGGCCCCTGGCCGGGCGCTGCCCCAGCAGGCCACGGGCGGCAGCGTGAGCACCATCTTAATGAGGCACTGCGGCACTGCTGCCGCTGCCCGCGGGACGTGACGGCGGAAATCCTGCTCGTCTGCCGCCTCGGCCCGCCTTCCCTGGCTGCCTGCGAGGAGGAAGCGCTCCTGGCATGGCCGCTGCCCGGTTCCCCGCCCCCCATGCTGGGCTCCCTCACCGAGCCTGCCGCCTCCATCCCTCGGCTCCGTGCGGGGCAGGTGCGGCGGGACACATCCGCCTTAGGTGCAACGCCCAGAGCACGCACAAATCCCAAATCTCCCATCCCCGAGAAAGGTGTGGGACCAGTGGGAATGCAAATCTCGACTGTCAGAGCGGGTGGGGGTGGTGGGAGCTGGAATGTCCCTCTGGCTGCTCCGCTGAGCAGGGCTTTAAGGATAAGGGAGGGGGTGGGCAGGCTGGGGGAACCACGCAGATACTGGGGTGGGGGACAAGAGAGGGGTCATGCAGCTCAAACGTAACCCTACTCTCCGTAAACCACTGCTATTCCCGGTGCTGCTGAGGGGCTAAGTTTAGACCCAGCTGAGGTTACAACCTTTTCTTAAAGGCCAGGACATGGTGATGGCTCGCGGGGCACAGCAGCAGGGCTACGAGCTCGTGCCGGGGTCGGTGGTGCCCCAGCCGCAGCCCACCGAGGCAGGCTCGGGGGAAGCTTCAGCGCAAACAGGAGGCCCCGGTGTTTGTTCTGGCGGGGGCAGAGTGCGGCCGGGGTGAGCAGCGCGGCCCTTGTGCCCCGTGCCCGGTCGATACCTCACCCGTGTCCGCCCCCCCGGCCGCACCGCGCCGCAGCCGCGCGTGCCGCACGCCCCACGCGGAATGGCGGCGGCGCCGGCAGGGCCCAGCACGGCCCCGCGCGTGGGGCAGGGGGCGCCGGGCGGGCTCTGCCACCGCCTCCCGCCCGCCCCTCGGCCGGGGGCAGCCACCGCCGAGCGCGGACGCGGCGAATGAGTACAGCTTGTTTAATGAGCGAGTCCTCTGGCACGGGGAGCAGGGAGGGGGCTGCCGGCGGAGCGGGGGTTCAGCGGCCGCGGGGGGCAGCTGTGGAGCCGGGCAGCTCCTCCTCGTACGGCCGCGCCGCTTCCTCGCTGCCGCAGCCTCCCGTTTTCGGAGCGGGAGCTTCAGGGCTTCGCGCAGCGGTGCGGGTTCCCGAGCCGGTGCTGGTTCCCGAGCCGTACAGGTTCCCGAGGCTGGGTGCCCTCCGGCTGCGGAGAAGCGGGCCTGGTGAGCCGCCCAGCGGCGTCCCGCCCGCCTGCTCTCGCCCCGGCCGGCCCCAGCACCGCGCCGGCAGCACGGCGCGTCGCCGGTGCCGGCCTTTGCCCCGGCGGCTGGCAGGTGGTGGCCCCACAGCCTGCCCCGCTGCCCCATCCCCTCGCTGTCTGTCTGCGCGCTCCATTCTGCCCTGAACTCCTTCCCTGCCCGCTTGCTCGAGCCCACGCTCTTGGCCCTCTCACCTCGGAGGCCCTCCAAAGCTAACACCCCAAACCACTGAAGGTCCCGATTCGGTCCAGTTTCAGCCCGAAGCAACCCCTGGGCATGGCCTTCCAGGCCCAATCTCCAGGCAGTGCCCACTTGCGACTGGCGAGGTTCTTGCGCCAGAGGGATGGACGGGCAGCTCTAGCCCCAGATGGGAGGAAGGGCAGAGTGGAGGAGAGCAGCTGAGGACCAAAGCTGGACCCCTCCTTTGTGTCCTCTTCGGTCAGCGTGGACTCAGGCTCCAGGGGCAGCAATCGTGAAAGGAGCATCTGGGATAAACAGAGGAGAGAGGGGTGATAAGCCTTGTACCCTCTGGTACCCCACTGCCCATACCCTCCTGAGGGCTCAGGCAGGACATTAAAGTGATGCCTGCTCACAGCACTGTGCCTGTGACATTGCATCCAGACACAGGGAAGGGCCTTGACTAGTAACTCCCACTGTCTGAAATGACTTTGTCGACCAAAACAGCAGGCAGACAGCTGCTGTGAGCTCTGCCTGCGGGCAGATTGCCCTGCGCTTGTAAAACCATACACATGTCCTGCCCTGCCCCAGATTTGGAAGGTAACTCTTCAGTCCTCACTCCTTTTGTGGATGCTGAGCATCACTATGTGCTCAGGCTGCTGTGTACTATTTCATTTTATCAGAGGGCTGCTGGGAAGGATGAGGGAGATAAAGATCAGGGAGAGGCATGATAAAGATGAGGGAGAGGCAGGAGCAGAGCAGGTGTGAGGAAGAGGGACTCCCCATCTGCTGGAAATCCTCTAGGTTAACTGTGCTGACTGTAAGCCCTCAGCACTGCTGGGAGACAAGGGTTGGGGGGTGTGTTGGGTGCAGTGGAGGCATGGCATTGCTGCCTACAGAAGCAGCCTGCAGGAGCCGTTCTACATCTGTCTCTCACATGGATGCTGAGCGAAGGCTGAGGATGCCTTTGTGCAGCTCTTTGTGGTAGCAAGTTAACTGAAGCGGACACAGGCATCCTCAGCGAGGAGTGAAAGTGGTGAGTCATAGCAGGCTCAGTCTTGTGATTTTAGTTAATGTCCTATTTCCCTGTGGCTTTCCCAGGGTGATGTAAAGGCAAGGTGCTGGGGCTCAGGTTAGGGTTTGGGTAAGAGGGAGCAGACTAGACTGCAAAGTCAAAAATATTATTGCTATAATTGCTGAGGATAAAGTTTTACTCAAGTAAAGAAGCCCTTAGTTGGCATCCGGACAGGGCTCTTGGCCTTAAAGAGGGTCTTTAAGGGGGGTAATACTGAGCTAAGGAGCAAAACTCCTGGCCCAACAGGATGCATCTTCCCTCTGAAACACCAGAACCAGAACCATGATGAGAGACATGACTGTAATATCTGGTGGCTGCTGACACAGAGTGGGCTTCAAAAGGACCGGGCTCTTCACTGCTAAAAGCTTTTACAGAGCACTAAAAAGCTTTTGTCTGTTTCCTGTCTTGAAATGCTGGAGCTCCTTAGGGGCTGGATTATAAAGTCACCCTAGAGCTGAGGCTGCTGAAGGGCAGAGCGCAACAAGAATAGACAGCAGCCTTCTTGTAGTTGGAATTTGGGACCACCTCTCATTCGAGGTTCAAACACAACCTCCCTCCTCCTCCTCCCCTCCTGAAATCAACCTCAGCTCTCTCCCTCCTACCTGTAGTCTCTGTCTTGGTAAGGACACAGTCTGAACGCTGGCAGAGAGCAGAACCAAGAAGAGGAAAAATGAGCAAGGCCACAACCGAAGCCCCAGCATCTTCTTAGCCCAGGGCTGGTGGGAGGCAAGACAGGACTTGCAGCATCTGTGTGGGATGTGGTCCCTAGCCCCTCTCTGCCTTTATAGCTTTGGTTCTGGCAGGCAGCTGGCCCCAGCTCCCTGCTGAACCACCCCCTGGAGCTCCTGAACCTTTCAGCCCTTTTGTCCAGGGTGATATATTTCAGGGTGAGCTCAGCAAGACCCCTTCCTCTAAAGAAAAAGGACACAAAGGTGTTTACTGAGTGTCTGGGAAGACAAATGTGAATTGAGCTGCTGCTGGCCAGGACCTGGAGGTGTCTGTCAGGGTCAGGGTGACACTTTGAAACACATCCCAAAAGGAGGATATTGAAGGCTGCATTGTTTTGGAGTATTGAACATCCTCCTCATAGGCAGAGTGCTGTTAATGCTATTTCTCTGATCAGTGTGAGCATGAACTGCAGCTCAGGTAGAGGTAGGCACACTGCTGGCTGCACAGAGTGGACACAAATTCAGCTCTGTGACAACACAGGCTTTTGTTTTTAATATTTATATCTTGGTGAGACAGTTGGGCTGGGGATGAAGAGCTCCTGCTGCAGAAGGTGGGTGAATTCCAGTACTACACAGAATTTGTAGCAGTGACAGGAGCGTGGGTCTAGTACTATTAGCATATAATTTGCGGGCTGTCTGTCCCAAGTCACCATCTGGAGGACTGGGCTGAGTTTCCAGAGGAACCGTCACAGAAAAGAGCTTGTCGAGGCTCAGCTTGCACTTTGTCAAGCTCAGGCACACAATGGGAGCAGGATAGCAAGGAGCAGATT